GGGGGGGGGGGGGCAGGCACCCGGTTTGAGGAGGGACGGCAGAGAGTAAACCAGGGAAGACAACCAGCCAGTGCCCTCTGCGCTGAGCGCACGCCGAAGGAAGAGCCAGGCCCTCAGCCGAAAACTCACCACCACCCAAAGCGGGAGCTCTGCCGACCGCCCACCTGCCGTTCAATGCTCATGATATTGCCTAAAGCAGACATGACCAAGTTATGTCTACTTTTGTCCATAGGCCAACGGAGAGATCAAAGCCTAAAGAGACCAAGGGATTCGCCCAGAAGCTCACAGCAGCGAGTGGCAGAGGAAGGCGGCCTGGCTCTAACCCGGCACCTAACCTCTAGCTGAAACCACCCCCAGAGCTCGGTCTGACTGGGGAGGGGGGTGATCTGTCCCCGGCTCTGGTGCTGCAAGCCATTCTCTGAGCCTCTATTCATCTTCCTTTTCTCTCTTTTAATCCCATTTATCTTTTCTTAACCCCAGTCGTAAAATTGTGGAAAAGCGAGTCTAACAAGAAAATTCCAAAAAAAAAGATAAGCACCCAGTAAGTAGGTTCCTTCTCATGTCTCCTTTCCAGATCATGTGCCATTTTACGTAAAGGTGGGCTCATGCCATGGGAAACGTTTCCTTGGGGAGCATGGGAATCTTCTCTTCCTGATTCACATTTCAGCCTCTGTTCCCTGATTCGCCGTTGCATACTGATTGCTGGTCCTGGTTAAGGCTACACTCTCCCCTCCCACTACTGAATGCTTTTTGTAGGGTAGATACAGTTTTGTATATTGTTTTTCTTGTTATAGTACTTAATATCGTGAGCATTTTTGAACCTGGTAAAACGTTTTCAGAAACAGAATCTTTTAAAAAGTCTTCTGTGCCTTTCTGTGGATGAGCTGCAATCTATTTAAAATGTCCCTGTTGTTCATCTGTAAGGAGTTTGCTGGTGTTTGCAATCCTAAGTTCTCTGGTGATGGTCAGCCTACGTAGAATCCTTTGTTCCCATCTCAGTTTATTTCTTTAGGCCAGGTTTCTAGAGGCGGGATTATGAGCCCTTGCTGTCATTCGAAGGTGGTACCAACCCAGCAGGAAGGGGCAATGCCCAGGCCCGAAGGGTCACCTGACAGTGTGTGTGGGTGAAAGCCCACTGGGCCATCAGCTTCCCAGGACAGAGCCGGACCAAACACACTTTGGGTCAGGTTCACTGTTGCCAGAGGCCGCTCTCCGCTGGCAAACGCATGCGTGGAACTCTGCACAGGTTGCTCCATTTCATATCCTAATGAGAAATTAGCGAGTTCCCGAATTTAGACCAAATGGGCCTATGTGTAAGTTACAAAGTTACCATGACAGTGACTATAATGGTCATACCTGGCAAAAAAAAATAGGGTATGTAGTAAGCAAAGACTGAGCACCAACGATGCACTAAGCACCAGTTAGGTGCTAAGGAATAACAATGGTGAAGGCACAGCTCCGGCCATTCAGAAAGTCTAGGTTAGTGTGAAACACACAAACTGGGGCAATGATGGTGCGTGAGAGCTGGGGAGTGCGTGAGCTGAGGGAATCCTCACTGCCTGGGGTCTGAAGGGAAGGGAGAGGGAATGTCAGACTGAAATATATCCAGCATCTGGGGGAAGGCTGATGTGTCACTAATCTACCCCTTTTAAATGAGAGATAATTTAAAATAATAATAGTAGCAGTTTGCTCATGCCTGGCATCCCAGGTGAAAAACCAGTCAAGATAAATAAATACATACAGGAAAGGGGAGAGTGCATCTGAGAAACAGCCAGTGGATGGGCAGCTAGGGAGACGACTGGGAAACAGCCTTCATTAAAGGGCATTGGCTTTGCAGGGGACTCAACTAGTCATCACTGTGGTGGCCACACTGTCATCGCCATGATCATGAATTAATTACAACTACCACTGTTTGAGAGCTCACTATATTCCAGTCTCTGTGCTCAGCATACAGCATGATTCATCTCACCATTAGATACACACACACATACACAGGATAGGAGATAAATATTTATAAATATTATTTTATTACTTTCCTATTTTTCTCACTGTGAGGAAACTGAGCCAGACCAGCTAACTTGTCAAAGGCTAACCTTGGAGCCAGGACTCAAGTGCATACTGACCTAATTCTACAACTCATGCCCCTCAGAGTTTCTACTAATTACTGCTCAAATCATTGAAGGTTTGGGGGCAGGAAAAGTAATGTGATTAGAGTTATATTTTATGAAGGTAATTGTAAAAAAGAAAACAAAACAGAACAGGGTCATTCTCTTTCATTCAGCCTGAGAAGGCAATGCCTCTGTCTCCCTTAGATTTCAGCATCAGCCCTGAGCTTCCTGAAGACGTCACCTGGGCAATGCATGACCTCTAAGCCTTAGTTAAGGAAACAGGTCAAAGCGCATGTCCAACATGGGCTGAGTGAGGGCCGTGGAACTGTTGTCAGGCTGGATGGCTCTGAGCCCAGCACAAAGGGTGCCTTTAGCTGACACAGCTGACAGCTCATTACTCTGTCCTGAGCGGTGTCACATGAGCCCATCCCTGATGAGAAGTAGCCGGTGAACCCAGGGTTCGGCCCTCTGAGCTGGGAAACAGGCCAGCGGCTGCTTACCTTTAGCTGTCATATCTGAGTGCCACCAACTGCAGAGGTTAAATTCCACCAGGAACCTAAAAGGTAATAGGAAAGTCCAGTGTTACTCGGTCATCCACACCCTGAATGGAACAGTGACATCAAGTTTCCAGCATTGCTCACCTCGTTTGAAAGAATGGCATCGAAATCTGGAGATATCGACGTGGTGGGTTCGGTCACCACCGAACTTTCACTAGGCTTTATCTTATTTGTGAAAGGCTACTTTATCACCAATGCCAAACAGACCTTGAAATCAGGTTTACCTAGACTCAGGACTCTGCTGAGAAATAGTTTGCTTTACAGGCAGAAATAGTTTTTAGTCCGAGTCCTAGTAAAAAGTCAACTTCTAGCCCTGGCCAGTGTGACTCACTGGTTAGAGCGTCGGCCCGCACACCCAAGGGTTGTGGGTTTGATTCCTGGTCAAGGGTACATACTTGGGCTGCAGGTTCGATCCCTGGTCCAGGTTGGGGCACATGCAGGAGGCGACCAATTGCTGTGTTTCTCTCACATCAATGTTTCTCTCTCTCTCTCTCTCTGTCTGTCTCCCCTCCCTCTCTCCCTTCCACACTCTCTAAAAATCAACGGAAAAAATATCCTCAGATGAGGCTTAACAACAACAACAAAAAAGTCAATTTCTAAAGGGCCTCCCCTGCCTAGGTTCAGAAATACAAGTAGAGCATTCTCTGTTAGACTATGATCTGCAGCAATAAAAGCAGCTTTCAAAATTTACACTACAATGCAAACTTGTTCAGACATGTGTGACTCAGACAAACTTCTCTTTATGAAATTAGACTACAATGTGAATTAAAAAAATCGAAATTTCTCAATTGCTCCTAAAGTGTGCAAAAGTAACCTAAACCCTCCTCTGAATGAATGGAGACTGACCAAAACTCAGCCATTTCTTTTTCAGGCACATGGCTACTCTCTGTAGCAACTCACAATCAAAATCCCACTGTGATCTGTTCCAGTATTTTCTGCCTCTTATGTACATGCAAAGCTTACTACCCAATCGAATTCATTAATTGTTAAATTAATATAGGTTCCATTAAAGCAACAGAGAAGACAATGTCTGGTCATCCAATGGCAAGAAACCTGCTAAACCCACAGAACTGGAACTTAATGGGGAAAATAAGAATGAGAGTCGGGTGTGGCATTGGAGACCTGGTCTCCACGCCCATCCACGGAATTCCTCCTTCCGTGTGCTGCAGTGTTTCTGTGCTGTGCCCAGTCTCGTGTGGAAGTCGAGCCTCTCATCTCTGTGCCGTTCCAATCTGACTTCAGCCATAGATGCGTCCAGCACCCTCCAGACAGGATGGCAGTTTGACCGGGTAAACAATTCATCTCACCTGAGAAAAGCCCCCGGCCCGTGGCGCTGACTGCACAGGCCCCACCCTGACCACGACAGGCCGTCCCACGTAGCCCAGTGGACAGCCACGGCAATTTGTCCTTCTGACCACAGCCCACCCAGGCTGCATTAAAAACAGCCAGGCAGCTATGTTAAATTTAACAGTAACCACAATAAATAAATTTGGTTTGTGCATTGCAAGCTGTTAGTCTGCTAAACAGTGACACAAGGGCATAAGCGGTGACCATGAATAACTTAATAAAAGATAATTTTTGGTCTCAGCTTTCAGTATTTCAAGGTTTTCAATGAAATTATCGAAGAGTGTTATGAATCTAATGGTTATTGAAAGCACGAAGTAGAGTCTCTCACTTCACTTAATGATACACAAGAAAAGCAATCACGCATTTTAAATGTAGCGATTGTACTTACAAGACAAGTTCTGTCATGATCCATTTTACTGCAGCAAGGAAGGCTTTATAAGGCTGAAGAAAAGAAGCCAGGTCATTCCAAACAAAGTGTATGACACACAAAATTTGTAGTTTAACTTAAGGCTTTACATAAAGACAATTGTTATTTTTTAAGAGAGATTGATATCATGTTAAAAACCAGTGGCGCTCTAGCTGAAAGAAGAAAATGGTTGGATATTGTATCCCAACACTAACATTTTAAAACTTTGAACTGCCCTGTAGTGAGATGTGATTTACAAGTAAAATAAACATGATCTAATACAGGGGTTATCTCTGGGAGGAAAACGGAAGTTCAGCAAAGGATGCTTAAACCTTTACTCTCTGGGGGCTAATATTTCGCAGCCTAATGCTGAGGGGCTGGAATCACATAACTAATTTCAAATGGTAATTTCCAGGGCTGCTGCTCAGAAAGGAAAGGTGAGTCCCTGTTTGCCATCACTGTCTGTCATTCGTGGAAATAAGCAAAAATTGCATGTACTTGATTTTAATGCAGCCCATGAATTATGTAGGATTTAAGCTGCCTTTTCTCACACTTACATATTTGGACTTGAAAAAATGATAACCATATAAACATGTGATTTTATCCTTGCAGAAAATCCCCTTCACTCTATAAAAGAAGGCATTGACAGCCTAATCTTTATTTCAGAATATTTTAATTAAAAAAAGCAGTGGGATTGTTTACTCTGTGATATTTCCTATGTGGATAATTCAATTTCCTGGATTCTGGAAAATACCCAGTCTCCCCCTCAGTCAGTTCTTTGTACCTAGGTATGTCAGATATGTGAGCGGTGGGCAGATTTGCAAGACAGGCAAAGACACTGGCAAAGCCTGGGCTCCAGATGGCAGGTCCAGAAAACTCTCGGAATCCTTTGTGGTTGCATTTAGATATCACAGCATTGAAATTCCAAATCCTGGTTTCTTAAGTGAGGTCTGCTTAATCCTGCCTTCTAAGCATTCTGATGATAAGGACTAGAAAGGGGGGGAGGTATCCAGTTTTAAATAAAACAAGAACCAATTTATATACCCCAAACCATTCTCCAAACTTCCGTATTTCTAGCCAACGAGGAAATAGACAGAACAACATAAATCTACTGGGGTTGCTCCCAGCCCACTCAGGTTTCCGACTGGATCTCTTGCTCTGATTTGATGGCGTGTCTGAATCTCAGAGCCCTCAGGAGAAGGGTCAGATAAGGACAGGAGCTATTAAGTATTTCCTAAAACCAAATGCAACCTTGCAGTCCCGTGGTTTCGCCGTTACAATTCTTAGGGCTTCAAAAATATCGTCTTTCTTTCCAAATGGCCCAGGTGGTCAGACCATGGGACAGCTCTGTGCCTTTGTACCTGCCGGGATGGATAGTGACATGTCTGTGGTCCTCGGTGGTGTGAGTCTGGGAGGAGGGAGTGAAGAAGGGGACTGAGGGGGCTTTGGAGGTGGGGAGGGGCAGGCACCCTGAGGCCGGGGGGTTT